ATTTTAATCTCTGTTCCTGGAGAAGGTATTGAAAGGTAAAAGTTTTGCTGATTAGAGGTTGCCTTAAGCACATCTTCAATGCTTTGCTGAATCAAGTCACAAATGCTGATTAAGATGGAAAGCTAACTCTTATCACGAGGAAGTTGAATACAATCTTAGAAGACATCTACTTTTTAAGGTCAGATTCTAAGGCCTGATATTCACTCTCTATCTGTAACATCTCAGAAAATGTATGAACACATCTGACAAACCAGGATGCACGTTTGTTGGCCACTCCCGGTTACTAGACAGGCTAACAGATTTGTATCAGACACGCATGTGCATTTCCTGGCTCCCCTCAGTAAGTGACCTACTTGAGCTGCCTGTGTGGAAGGTTATGGTTTAAGAAGCTAAGTTTGTGAATTCCCCTCCTCATGCAGCCTGCAGATAGCAGTGCCCATGAAACTCCTATGGATCATTTCAGCAGCCATCTTGAAAGGGTTTGTGCATGCCAATATCTACCTGAAAGTAAAACCACACCATTAGAATAAATTCAGGACATTCCCTGTCAGCTACAGAATACAAAAAGTTCTCTTGTGATTTTACCTCAGTGCAATTCCCATTGGCTTAATGAAATTATAGACAGCAAATCATGGCAAGGCTGAATTCAAGATTTGCAGGGAGGCAGTCAACATACCATCCCCGCAGTAGGAAATAAATATGCATCAGCTTTGCAGGAGACCTTTGTACATAGTACAATGCCTCCTAGATTATTGAACAGCCTTTCCTATCACCTACCACCTATATTATAAAATACATGCTGCCTCCCGTCCTCTGAGCACAATTTGAGGAGCAAAATCACTTCTCTTTCTGTCAACTCCAACTAGGCAATGAAACTTGTTATTACCTCCCTCCTCACTCAGCCTCCTTGGAGAGCAGTGTTCAGATTTCTTTTCTCCATGGTACTACATCAGTCACTATTACCAGCCTTCAGCCTTTGCTGGATCTATTACACATCATTCTGTAAAAATGTTCACAAAGATTGCTTTCCATCCCAGGTCAGGATTCGATGCATATCAAGAAGGCCTATAAAAGGAATAGAGCCGTCAGACATCACGTCATGCTGAAACAACCCCAAAAAACAAGTCGGCTTTTTAGAGGAGACAATGGGCTTTGAACTTGGTAATTACCAGTTACTCCTGATGACTGTACATAGGGAAACCCACAACCTCTTCTGTTCATGGAGGCTGCAGATGTAAACCCTTCATTATTGTTGCTGCTATACAAATGTTCTTTTGCTTTTCCGTGTATTTAACCTTTATAATGGCAAAGAAATTCAATCTTTAAATCTGCTTTAATTATATTTCTTCTTGACTGTTGTAATAAGGTCTCTTGAGTGACATCTTTATTTGTGTAAAAGGCAAAAGAGTTTGCAAAAATGGGTTTTAAAACACTACCCTGGCCCACAAAAGTATTTCTCTCACAGGACACAATAGACAGAGAAACAATACAGTGTTTGCCTAGGAAAAAAAGCCTAAAAGGGAAAGAGTTTTCAGGGATCTAGTTAAAACTCAAAGTGTTATGAAGATTACAGATGGCTCTGCAACCTGAGAGGGCTTCACAACATGGCAGACCCCTTTCAAGACTATCTAAATTGCCTCTAGTGTCCAGGACAATATAAGATTCATAAGGCACAAAGGCATCTTTGCTCATCTCCTGTTAGATGTGTTTTTTCTGGTGCCATTTATAAAACCATAAGGTTCCACTCGTAAAATTACCATATTTTGAAAGATATTTAAGCACCCCAATATTCAGAAAATAGAAGCTCAAATACTTTTAAAATTTGGGCCCATTAGCAACTGGAAACATGGTCAGATTCAAGGAATAGGTAAATGCAATTTCATTCACTTCTTTTTTTCTCTTTTAATCATCAATATATCTTTTTTCATATATTGGTCTAATTTAGACTGCAAGCTCTACTGAGCAGAAATATACTTTTACATGTATAGAATGCCCCATAAATTAATGGCACTAAATGTGTTTTTATAATAATAAGTAAGAAAAAAAAAATCAATGATTCGGTGAAATGATACTTTCCTCACACTAGCAATTGATATTAATGCCTCCAGCAATAGCTGATGCTGGCTATCAATATCAGAGTCTCAGAAAGATCCTGGAAATTGTGCTCATGTGTTTCTACAGTGTTTGCATTTTTGGACTCTTGGAAAGTAATTGAATTGTGATAAAGCATTGCAATACAAGATGTCTCTTGGTTCCTTGCTGACATGAAGGCACTCTGCTTATCAGTGAATTAAAGGCAACTTTTTACATCCGCATGGATAAATCATTGCTGATATATTACCATTGCATAAAACGGCTAGGATATGTGCAACACACTCAGCTTTTGTTTCATTATAAAATTCTTTGAACAGCGATAAAACTGCTGTACCTCCCTTTATATAGGCCTTTTGTCCTCTCCCAGCTTTTCTAAGTGCTTCTCTGGCCCACATTGCAGGACACACAGTGTGGTTTCAGGCATATAGTTTGCTCCAGTGGTATGTATGCAAAATGAATGCAAAACATGCAGCCAAGATAAGCCCTGGCAGATCTGGAAAGCAGAGCAAAAGAGATCATTTTGCTGGTAGATCATTACCTTTAAAATCTCATCTATTTGGTAATTATACCACTAACAGAGGGAGAATTTTTTTTATTTTTTTTTACTTAGAGATATTATCCTGTAATCATATATAACTTTCCAGGATGCCTAGTGCCTGTTTGAATGCTCAGGAATTAATTGTTTTATTCACCTATTTACACAGGACAAGGCTGCTAAATAATGAGACCCATAAACCTTCATAATTAAAGAAAAAATATGGCTAGCGTAGAAACAGGCACAGCCTTTGGTGGCATAAAAGGACACCTCTAGCTAGTTAACAATAGCCAATGCATTCCTGATCATAAGTGCAATGATTTTAACAGCTGGTCTCATAAAATAGATCCCCAAATTAATACATTTAAGGCAAACTTGAGTTGCTAGATTAGGGCACTCTGCTCAAGCAGTGGGAGCATTCGTTAAATTGCGCATCAGATACCTATTGTCTGAATGTGGTACTGATAGTCACATTGTAAATCTGATTCTCTAATATTCTTGGGATGCAATACACTGCATTTTTTTCATCATTTCCTCTACATGTAAACTGATCTCTTGCATTGAAGCAGTACTATTTAAAACAAAAGGATTTGATTTATAGCCAGTCCCCAGCCTCATAAATCACACCTGCAGTGTGGTGCTCTGAGCTCCCTGTGTTCTGCCAGCATTTACCTTTTATAAATGATTTGGGTTTACCTCCCATTGTGATGGAGTCTAATACAATTGCATTCTTTTCTCCCAGCATTCACTCTTGCTGTTGCTTATTATTCCCACTGGGAATTCAGTCCTAGTTTTTGCAAGCTTGTCAGGGGGGAGGGGATTCTTCGTGGTGTGTTCTTTTTTTTAATTAAGGAACATCGAGTTATAAATTTATGTTCACATTCTGTAGCATTTTCTATCACTAGATATACTGTGCAGTGACTTCTTTCCTCCCCATTGACTACGCTTATATTTAAGTTCCCATTTGCTAGGCTAATGATTTGGAACTTAAGCAGGACAGTAGCTTGAAATGTCCAACACACTGAGCATTTGACCTTCAGGGTAACCCAAGTACATACATCAGCCACTGCACAGACTGCATAAGGACCTTGAATTCTCACTTTAAAAAAAAAAAATAATCAAAAATAATGTTTTGACACACACACACACACCCCCCCCCAAGGTGACTAAAGTCCAAGGATTTTCTACTTAAATCTCAGAATCTATGAGTGCCCAAAGATTAAGTGCCCAAAATATACTTATATAATATTTTGCAATTATGTCTCTACTTTTCAATCATATTGCAGTTCTAGTTGGTTAAGCACAGTTCAGAAACTGGGAGATACAAGACTTGCTCCTTGAAGCTGGCAGTCTGAAGTCTTCATTCAGGGAATCATTTCTAAGTCATGGCATCATTTAACTGAGATTGATGGAATCTGTGCACTTGATTTCCCCTGTACCAAAACAACAAATGACTTAATTTGTTCAATTAATGACCATCATTACTGTCATTTTTATGGTTACAGAATACTGCTGCTATCATACCTACAGCCAACAAAGAGTTAATTATAGTCTGAGATTGGTAAAAGCCACAAAATCAAAGTTATGTTTCTGTCACGGATATTCTATACAGCTTTGGTTCCGTTTTGAGTCCAGCCTTACAAACTTTTAAAATGGAGTCTGTTATTTGATGAGATGGTTGCAAAATTTAGACTTAAGATTTGGATGACTGTAATGTGTGTCAGCTGAGATCAGACTCAGACCTAAAGTAGCTGGAAAAACATTTCTGAAATGAATAGTCGTTATTCAGAAAAACTACTCCTTTTCCAACATAACTCACAGGTGGACTGGAATAAGTGGACCTGTTCCAGTTCAATGAAGGATTAAGTTAAACACTTCTATTTTCAAAGTAGATTAAGTGAAACAAGAAGACATTTTGATTCCCGAATTAGAAGTGTCCACACATGGACTTAAGCAGGAAGAGCTTCTGCACTTGAAATGCAAGCCTTACTTTCATCCAAATTAACTTTCAAATAAAGGCAGAACGCCTTGAATTACTGAGTCCATTGTCTGTAAACTCATATAAAAGCATTTTTATGAAAAGTGGTCTTCTCAAGTTCATAGTGTGGGCATAAAAATAATCAGTTGTAACAGTTCTTGCTAGGTAATGACTAGCCTAATTTTTAGAACCTATTTTGGATTTACTATGTCTGATGTATAAGAACTATTGATTCCAATAACTGCTTCCAAAAAAGAATTCAGCAAATTCAAATGTTCTGAACAACTGTTTTAATTTTCCAGTAGTTCAAAACCAGATTTTCTTCCAAGCAAAAAAAAAAAAAAAAAAAAAAAAAAAAAAAAAAAAAAAAGGCATCTATAAATTGACTCATAATTACTGAGAAGCAAATACCACTTTTTAATGCCAACATTTGTTACCTCAAGTTTCAGTTTCTTGGATTTGTAATCCAAATTTGAGAGAGCCACGAGAAGAGACGGTAACTCTGCAAATCCATTGTCCATCTGATATTTCAACTTGTTGTGGGACAAAGTAGTAAAACAGTAGAATGCATGAACCTCCTCACTCTTTGGAATTATTCTTTGATTCACAAGTTAGTTTTACTTTGGAATTTAACTGTGGCAAAGTTCAATTATGCAAATCCTGGTACACATGCATAAGGCTAAATTAAGTCTTACTGTCTAGTCTTGTGCTGCCCCAAAAGCAACCCTGCAAAGTGTGTAACTCCATGGACTGTTGCAAGTCCTCCATTGTGATTTGTTTTTTGTAAGTACCGTCATATATTCAGCCTCCCATGAAAAGAGGTCTAGGATTATGGGCTTCATTCTGAAGTAGCTTCACATGCGCTACATCCACTGAAGTATTAGAGAACTTTATTGTGGGCTCAGTCTAAAGGTACTTCAAGTGCTTTTCATCCAACTGCATGTTAGGCATCATAGTCATGACATACAACATATGCTTATACACTGGTTTCAAATAGCCCTAAAATTCCAAAGTTTCTTCTTGAAGGCAGTGTCTGTGTATAAGGTCTTCTCAAAAATAAATCTGCAATAAAAAAAAAAAAATGCTGTATGTTATGTAAAAAAAGATTTTTGGTTGAATATGTGAAGTCTATGTTGTATGTCATGTAACAAAAAAAAAAAAAAAAGACTTTTAGTTCAATATGTAAAATCTACTTTTCCATCAAAGGAGTCATTTGTGTTAACTTTGAAGCTTGATTTAAATATTAACAAATCTGCAAGATTCTTTGTTGTCTTTACACAAAGCAAAAAGACATTAAATGTGCCCCACAGTCTACCATGAATGTAAATTATTTTAGTAAATGTAGATATGTTTTAGTTAATTGTTTTGTTTATAATGTGTTGCAGCAACTACATGCTATATCTGGAACACTGATAAACTCATCACTTCTTGGATACTGGCACAACCAATTTAAAGAGGACTTTAAATTTATGCACACTAAATTTACATTTGCTCACACAACTGTAACAGCTGGAAATTTGCAGTTTGATTTGCATACAAAGCTTTGACTCCTTCATGGACTGCACTGAAGACTAGTATCTACAACTCTACTGGAAAGTTGGCCCCCTGTGATTCCTTACATGCTAGTATTTTGGACATGGTCCAGCCAGCTGGTTTCTGAGTTCACATTTATATCACAAAAAGTCTTGCAATCCATTATGTTATTGGAATCCAAACGCCAGCACCAAATGCTTCTGTAATAGATCTGATAGTTTGAAAATACATTGAAATATCCAGACCTAGCAAAATAGGAGTGGCAATTTCCACTTCTCCTGCAGCCTGTTCACCCCTGGGAGAAATCTATATTTAAAAAAAAAAAAAAAATCAACCAAGCAACTTGCAAAATAAATACCTGATAGAGCCATTAATATGCAATAATAGTCAATATGGATGGCTTTCCTGGCAGTAAACTACTAGCTGGAGGAACCATTAACTTCAAGAAATTTTAAAACATAGGGTGCAATATGATTCTGAAAGCACTTATTCACATTATCAGTCCTTATTCTAACAATGTAATCCTGATTTGTGAGAGCCAGATTTACTCATTAAAGTAATATCCTATGCAAGTACCATAACATACTTACTGTTTCTTAGGTACATTAATAAAGTACTATTTCTAGATCATTTGTTAAAGAGTTCTGCAAATACTTCTTAGAAAACAATTTTTAAAAAAGGGAAAGAAAAAAAAAATATTTTGCTTTCTTAAGAGCTTCAAATTTTAAAGCTGAGCTATACATTCCCAGTAATGGTCTTGCTTCAGTACAGTAAGCAGGAGGGAAACAGGACTTGCTCTCAACATTTCAATAGGCTTAGCACTTTCATTAACTAAGTGTTCCTCCACTGGTGCTCAGTTGGATACTTTTTTTTTCTTTTTCATTCTGAGAAAAAAATAATTCTTGTTCGTGGCCCTACAATTGATGTCATCACTTTGCAAAAATACGTACACAACTTTACTATTTCTCCCCTGTAAACCCTAGCCACCTTTCTCTGGATGGGTCAAGTGGTTGCAAACTACTTATCATCATCCTAGATCATTTATGCAAAATTTATGCATCATCACTGACCTGCCTCTAGAAATGTGATATTTTTGGTTTATACAGAAAATCCTGTTTTTTAGAAGAATTCTTAGAATGACAGAAGTGATTGCCAATGCAAATAACAATCAAATGTTTCTGCTGCAAAAGAAATTACTTATTCTCAGATGTAACATCAATCTCATCTTATCTAATTGCACATGTGGAATAATTCTCTCGATGCCACAGGTTATTCTGCTTTCTTGATCCTTCATGAAAACGATTGGTATGCTCCCCAGAACAGGTCTTGAGACATTTTTAAGGAAAGCACTTTGACAAAGAGAGAGCAATCTTTGAAGAAAAAGAGCTTATAGAGAAAAAGAATTTTCCTTAAATGCAAAGGAGGTAGAGAAGGGTAATGTATTTCTCAAAGGCTCAGTAATGGAATGCACAGCTTTGCACTCCTAGGTGGCTAGTTCAGATATAGCTGAGGTTGTCAGTCATCAGAAGTGGTAAGTCTAGGCTTAGATACTGATAGGCTGCAAATATCCAAGAGGCAGAGTAATTATTTACAGCAGCACAGGAGACTGAGTGGAGGGAAAATAAGGAGAAATTAATGTTAGCTTTCAAAATTACATGAAGACACATCTCTAGATAGAATACAGTTAAGAGAAATCCTATCTTCAGGGTGAGGTGGACTAGTGACCTAACAGTTGTTTTCTACAAGATGCTTTCAGATCTAATATGACTATTGCTGCACTCAGGTCAACTGAAAATTTTCCCTAGACTAACTTAGAAGATTGCTGCTGTCCTTCTTTCAAATATTCATCAAAGCTCCTCTGTCACACAATCCATAAAAAATTAATCATCTATGGTAGCTAGGTTCAGAATGGCTGGCAAGGTTCATTATTAAGTCTTTTTTAATTAAAATATGACTATTAAATTCAATACTTAAAATGTCATTGCTATGTTCATTATTTTGAAGTTATTCCAAGTGTCACTGAATCTCAATGATTATAGAGCTAACCTGTATATTCTATATCACCATCAACACCATTGCTTTTGCTTTTTATTGTCTTCTTTCAAGTTACATGTAGCCTCTTCAGGCCTGGGGCTATGTCATCCTATCAACTAACTAGTACATTGGATTCTGATACTGCCTGGGCTTTCAGGACACTGCTGCAGAACAAATCGCCATCATGATCAATATCTGGAGAGCTATGACATTGCTAGATGAGAGCTTGGCTCAGTGACTCCATTAGCACCATCAATACACATCTGATGGCCATGAAAGCAGCTCTGTGATGTAGTACAAGTCACTTCAGAAAAATCATTGACTGACTTAGTACACAGACACAGAACTGACAATTAAATGAACTAACAGCTTCAATTTACTTGCTGTGATCAATTCAAGCTACTGTGTAGTCATGTGGGGTAAGGGTAGGAGCAGCATGACCACGCCTGAACCCCAGCTTCCATTTTGTGACACAGTCCCCCAACAGAGAATTTTTCTGTCAAGGGCAAATAAGACATCTTAAAAATTATTTTTCAAAGTTAATCTTAAAGGTGCTCTTTCAGACACAAATAAAAATATTTTGGCCAAAAAAAAAAAAAAAGTAACAATTACATGAAACAGCTGTTGAGTGGGCAGCAGATACTGTTTACAGTGGGCAAGGAAACCTCCTTCATCTTGAACAGTCTACTGAGTATTCACAGATAACCCATACCTGGGTCTGACTCGTTGCTGTTTCACTTATTGGCTATTTAAATCTGTGCAAAGAGCATGAAACTTGGTCACTCTGTGCAGACTTTTACAGCTACTTTGCACCCCACGGAGCAGCTCCACAGTGCCAACGCAGCAGTTCTTGTGCCATTACTTGCAGTAAAGCCTACATTTACAGTATGTTTTTCCATGCTCCTCCTCATCCACTGTTTTTCTTCATCCTGGATACAGGAATGGTTTGTTTACTTTTCATATCCTATCCTGTCTGAAAAGGGTACAACACTCTTTAAAACTGATAGAACAGTAAGTTGCACTGAAGTGGCTTTCTGAAACTCATCCAAGTTCTTCAGCACAATTGATGCTGTTTCCTTTTAACATAGATGTGGCAGAGTTGAATAGACTCCCTGGAGACTCCAGATATTTTCAGTAGTGACAAGAGCCCATCCCAAACATAACTTTCAATCTGTTCATCCCTCCTTGAATACTAAGTAGAGCCTTTTCCTCTTACAATGTACCAAAACTGTGTCTGTAGATCAAAACACCTCCAGCACTTCAATACCACCTGACTTGCTTTCTAAGATATGCATATTAACACCACAATTATTCCCATTGTTAGATGTAGATCAATCTAAAAAGACTGTGCACTGCCTTTTATCTGACCAGCATAGGAAGTTCCACTAGGAGATGCACATTCGTGTCAGGGGCAGCACAGAGCATCTTGAAATTTAAAAGAAACTAATGAAGAAAGGATTCAACAGAGAGAACAGTAGAGATTTTATGCAAGCCAGAAAGTGTTGGAGTCCTAAAAAAATAATTATTAAGTTCTAAAATAAAGTGCCAACCTTATAGTAGATCTATATAACAACATGAGTCAAAAGTAACTTCAGAGAAAATTTACACTTTTTTTCATCAGTGATTGATAGGCAACTATGTAAAAGAATTCCCTATCGTTGGTCTTGTAACTCATTTGTATAGACATAGGATCTCTGAGAATGCAGTGCAAATTCAGTCTTGGCAGAGCCACAGTTATTATGGAAGCAGTATCTTTGATTTTTCCAACAATTGTCTGCATATAATCTCATCTAAAATCTTACACTACAACAATAAAGTTTGGAGACTGTTTTTGTGGAGTTTATATTATTTTTTTCTTGGACTGCAAGATAATTCTAAAGAAAAGAAAACAATTAAGATGCATTGTTTGAGCATGATCAGTCATTCAAATAAATACATCGTTTACAGAACACATTTCTCTCACATTTCACATACTCCAAGTTTATATGTGTGACCCCTCCTTCCAACAATTTGCATGCAATGTCTGAAAATTCTTCTCCTACTAGAAAAATAAAACCCTTCCTACAGACATGCTAGACCCCCTTCTAATGCCTTTTCAAAGGGAGATGGGTCTCGGGATAAAATGCAAGACATGAAAGGCCGGAAGATTGCACACAATTCTCTTGTGAAACAAGAGACATCATGCTCTGACAGTGCAGCCAGCCTTTCAGCATTGCTATATGTCTGCAATCCAGCCTGTCTTCAGTCTTGGAGCACAGCTGCAGTCCCAGGGGTTTCCTTCCCCCAGGCCCTTAACACCAGGCTGATTCCTGGCTTTGACATCCTCAGCTTCAGCCCTTCCACAGTTCCCTGCATCCCAGCACCCCTTCCTTACACATGCATCCCTGTGCCGGGGGCTGACCACCCACAACACCCAGTGTGGAGGCACCGTGATAACAGCGCATACCAAGGATGCAAAAGAGGTCTGAAGAATAACTTACTCTGACAGATAACAGAGCCAATTAAAAGCAGTGACACGATGCATGTGCAGTTCTACAGAAATCTATGACAAAGGAACAGAAGAGCAGTGTTATCCTGCTATCTCAGCTCAGAAGAGAATTTCTACTGACTTCGTGGGGCATTGTATCAGTCAAAGAGTAGCAAAGACACAGTATTTTGTGGTCTTATGAGATTTCACAGTTGTGTGACATATGCATTCAAAAGATAACAACTTCAGGTTCCTATTATTATGAATGCATTAAGCTATGTTTAATAGTGAGCACAGCATCATAAATATTTCTGAAACCATTTTGTTTATCTTCTAGCATTGAATTTGATATGACTAGAAACACTTCAAAATTTGTTAAAATAGTTTATAAGCCAAGTATTGTAACCATGGAAGCTCATGCAAATGATCATGCATATGTACTTGAAAAACATGCATGTCACATTATATTTGGCATGATTATCAATTGGCATTTAAACAGTGTAAAACTGGTTGCAAGAACAATTTAGAGTTGTACTGAATGGCTGTATTACTAAATATCTTCATATTGTTTAAGACAAAATACAGCATCTAATTCTAATTTTTAAATGATTGTTATTATTTATATGGACTTAGCTGTCCTCTGTCAAATAATCTCATGCAGCCCTTGACCCAAAAAGCAATTGATCATCTAAACATAGAAAGGTTTGGTTTTGGTGGTTTGGTGGTTTTGGTATTGGTGGTTTGGCACAACACAGCATCCTTTTTGCAGTTTGTGGACATAAGATCCAGTGTTGTAGTACACCAGCAGTGAAAATTCAGAAAACACACCTCCAAAGGAAATTAATTGGAATGACAGGCTGCCTCATTCTGGAACTGAAGCCTAAACCAAATTGTGCCAGGAAACCAAACCTGATTTCCTCCTATTCCCATTGTTTACTGGGGGTGAACAGGAGGTGCAGGGGGGTGAACACTTTACTTTGCTTAACACTTCACTTAATTCACAGTTCCCAGTTTACTATAAGTTTGACTTCAGTGGAAGTAGTGACCAAATGCACAAATGACAGTTCATCCTCTGAGTACTAAACATTACACAGGATATTAACAACCAACTTTTGCAAAGCCTGACAGCACAGGCTTTGTTGTAAGTTGTTGAAAACTATGCACTACCTAGCCAGTTAGCAGTGTTCACCCAGCCTCCTATGGGTGGGAGGCTAACCTATCCCCTACATCCTGCTTGGAGTAGGGTTCATCCTGCACGTTCAAAAGCTATACTACCAGGAATTAAATCCGTTCTCCCTCTTAATCTGCACTGAAGGAACTAATTATTTTTTAATAGTGCCATGCTTTTTGTCACTGAAAACAACTTTCTCAAGAACGAGACAGGATAACACATTTTTTGTCGTGCCTTTAAGTCACTGAAGGACAAGATGCCTGATCAAGTAATCACAGAGCCACAGGGTCACAGAGTGACTGAGATTTGCAGGCCCTCTGGAGACATCTGGCCCAACGCCCTTGCTCCAGCAGGGACATCTAGAGCAGGTTGCCCAGGACCATGTCCAGATGTTTCCTGAATATCTCCAAGGAGGGAAACTCCACAGCTTCTCTGGGCAACCTGTGCCAGTGCTCAGTCCACTCATGCAGCAGAAAAGTTCCTCCTGATGTTCTTCCTCCTGTGTTTGTGCCTGTTTGAGTCTGTAGCCAGACAAAAAGATGACAGGAAACAACCAGCTTGCATACTAGGCCAGGTGGCAAGACAAGCAGGCATTGCTATATGAGAAAACAGAAACTACACCACACCTTTCTCTGCATAATCATAGGGTCCATACGCCTAGGGAACAGTTTTTCACTCCGTTAATGATCCTGTCATGAGCTTTGCGATAGAGACTGGTTTTGTGACAAGCTCAACTTGCTCCCTTCACACTCTCCTAGCCATATCAGGAGATCAGCCTCAATGTCTTTTGCGATGGGCACACTATAAATAAATTACTGTGAAACTTCTGCAAACTGTCATCTCGAAAGGGCCAAAAAGCCTAATTTTTGTCATTATGGAAGCTTAGGGGCAGAAGTTTGAATCTTTGTTCTGTTATTTATTTTTTTTTTCCTCTGTTAAAATGTCAGTTTAATGTTTTTGGAAAGATTTTGCTTTTTTTTTTTCTTCTTTTTGTGGGCATATCATCAAAGCCTATTAGTGTAATACTTGCTATCGTTCATTTACTGGAGAAAACTCGTTAAACACATGTCACTTCAAAACTGCGTGACATAACATGAAATTAAAATGACCTTTATTTTGGCACACTTCTTCACTGAGTTAGGGTATTACTGAGTCCCAAGTGCTGCCTGTTTATGAATGCCAGTCAGGCTACTACCATGGCTCTAATGCGCCCAGAGATTGTGCAGCCTATGAACAACTGTAGCTAACTGCAAATACTGAAGTAACCGTGGGGTAAGATCCACTACTTTGAGAAAATTTATTAATTTATGTTGAAAATCTGACCAAATAGAAGTGGAAGCATTGACCAATTACTCACTTTTGTCAGATGTTGTTTCAGTGTTTGGCCTCCTGTCTTGAAATCCCTGAACTTGCATGTTGGGTCTAGGTTACTTCTTCCCATCCATATGGTTCTCACACTACGTCTGTAAGAGTGACAGCTGAATGAGTCACGGTCATGCTTAACTTTAAGCACAAAGGTGTCCAATTCTTGTTCTTAAAAATGCACATGACTGCATCATAAAAAAAACACAGGCTACAACACAGAGCTTCAAAGCACTGCCACAGAGTGCACAGATGTGTACATCAACCCTCTTGCACCCACCACCCCACTTTCAGGACCCAAAATAGCCAAACAAGAATCAAATTTCAACTCATTTCCTGAGGTTGCTCGACAACTTTGGACAGCATCAGATGAATGCTGTGGATCACTAAGTTTCTGTCCCCTGGACCTTTTAACATACATTCAGCCGTCTCCCTCTCTCATCAGGGGACTCCTCCAGAAGAGGTGCCGAGCTCCAAGACAAAGACATGACTGATTCTTATATCTGTTCCAACAAGGGGCTCCATGGCTATTGCAAATGCAGCATTTCACTGTGTCCAACTGAGGTCCTTCTCCTGAGGCCTAACAACACAAAAGACAGTTTGTAATAGCTCCCTTTGAAATCAAATTAGTAATGTTTCAAGGCATGACCCGTAAAGGGTTGCTGTCCAGAATCTACATGTGTTTGACAGATACATCTTCCACCTAACGGGCCTCTTCAAGAGTACAGATGGAATCAAGATGTGTGAACATAGCTCCAAAAAGAGAGCCATGGGATATCAGGATACACAGCAAAGCACTCTATCTCAACAGATGAAAAGGAAACAATATCAGATACAGTGTGAAATAGCTCACTCCAGCTGGTAGGCCAGATTCTGACACCATTATATAGGTGAGATTATTGCAGACGAAGATGCTATTCCATATGTGCAAAAGCTGGCAAAATATAGCCCAAAGTAAACTACAAAACCTTGTGCCAACTCCTTATAAAGGTCACACAAAGTCACAATCTCCTTTTCACATATGCTCATACACTGCAAAATGCAAAAAATTGCTGTGGGCTGCAGTTCCCCGTGCCCAGGTACACTTATGGGCTGGAGATTAGAGCCTTCACACAGCAGCTTATCTTTACCTAGCTAGACAGTCGTTTGTTAGCTGAAGGACTAAGCATGGTAACTTATGTATGGTGTGTGATTGGTTTGAAAGGGCTAATAAATATCAGGAGAGGACATTTTGGAGATATATATGCTAGTGTATCTGATGGCACAGAAACTGTGGGTCTTGAGGGTAAAACAAAATGAACTGAAAGGATAGAAAAGAAAATGAGTTTTCAAGCTTGCCATGATGTATTTGCTTATTTGCCAGAAAACTTACCACCCTATTGTCCTGAAGGGCAAACCTCTCTGGAGCAGGGTTATGAAGATGAGAACTCCTTCCCATAGTGTATGATAATAGGAAACTGATAGCTGGCCTTTCCAAACACCCACAGGCCCCATTTGACTGTAGAGAAAATTAATTTAAAGCAAATTAATTTAAAACAACTTCCTAATGCAGGCCAGGCCTCAGCTTCATAATTCATTTTCACATGAATTCACAGACAAGAAAAAAAAAAATCACGGTAGTATATCAAAAAACCCTACAGCAGCCAAATAAAATGAAAAACCTGCTGGCAGGAACTCCACCAGCTACTTCTTGCTGCCAGTGTCTGCTGCCTGAGAAGAGGACACAGCTAGAGATGAGCTACATATATTTTACAAGATGAAACGGAGTTCAAGGCAAGTCCTAAAAAAGATAGGCTGTACAACGTGTCAGGACCAGCCATTTCTGAAAAGAAACTAGGTACTTTAGGGTAAGACTAGGAAAAGCCTGGGAAAGACAACAGCAGAGTGCACTGATGGTATACTTAACTTACATTAGACCCCCCAATGGCTCATTTCTTCAATGACCTTCAAGTTCTGTCTGCACTAACAGGAACAGCAAATGTTTCAGGAAATGGAACAAATTTCTGCCTAATTACGAAAAGGACAGAGGAGCATGCAATGCTCGTAGGCAGTTCTGAGATAAGGTTATAGCCACGACTTGGCCTAAGTTGTTACATATCAACATTTTCAGCTGCATTTGATTACATTAAAAAGCCATAAATCACTGATTAACGCACATGATTTTCACACTGTTTTTCCAGGAAGTTACTTTAGTGAGCAGGTAACTGTCACGTTGATTACAGAACTAAATGAGGGTGCCATCCTGATAAACCTGGAGAATAATACCCCTATGAGATATGTGTAATACGAGACTCATATCCTGATATGAACGAATAACCCAAAAAAGGATGGAATTTGATTAACTCTGTGTTAGTACAAATCTTCCTTCTCGGGCTACCAAAGCAGTCAGTTGTCACCTTGGCTTTGGTCATTAACAGCAGTCCCTCAGGACAAGAGCAAGAAAACCAAATCATTACCTCCAGAATTTGATGGTAAAACACTTTGCACATGAATGCTACTGTGGCAGCAGCTCTCTTTCTTGGATTATAACCCTAGTTAAACCTTTGACTAAGAAGTTAATAAATGAATGGTAACCTGATCATTCTTATCAGTGTTTCTGTAACAGCAGCAGAGTAAAAGCTTCCCATTGTGTCTGAAGCAGTAACTGGCATTCTTCATGTGATTGTGATTTGTAAATAAGCTTGGCCATGGAAATTGTGCAGTTGGAGTAGTGGGAAAGAGGAAGCTTAAAAAAAAAAAATAAGAATAATACATTAATTACAAGTAGAATGGAAGCCCAAAGGCAATGATCAGCCTGTCTCACAGACTGTCACTCAGGTTAGCGAGTGTTAGCCAATGCTTACGCACTGAATTCTCCCCTGGAGTGGTACCTCTTTCTTTTCAGTCTATCATGACATATTTACAGCTTTGTCTCTCAGCAGTCTCTAGTGAGACTCCAGGGATCCACACTGGCCTATCATGAATGTTATTTTCTTGTGCTGCTACTGCGTAGAGCCAATAGAAGATATTCAGCAAGGAATTAAGAGTCTGTGTTAATGTGATTTCTGTCATCCCCCTATATCCTGGATTAGGTTAAACATACTTTTTTTTTCCCCCTTGCCTGCTTCAGCTGTTTCCAAGCATATATGGTGTAGAAGTAAGTTTGCATTATCTACATCTGTACTAGAAAATTGAACAAGCCTAGGACCGTGTTGGGTGATTACAGCTACTGGTTACAAACAATCCCTGTCCATTCTATTTAACCCTCTTAGCCTCCAAAACAAGATGGTCATGTGCCTATGCAGGATGGGGTCCTGGTTGGAGCTAATCCCTGAATGGTACCCATAAATTATTTGGGAGAATCTTAGCTGGACCTGACCAAAACCCAGCCAGGGTCTCTTCTAACACTTTAAGTGCAGACAATATAGTGCTTGGGAATGTTTCCTGATGTTATTTTTTTTAAATGGAATATACATTTTTATAGAGAACAAAAAAGAAACCCAAATTCATAAAGAATCCAAAGTCTGGTGCTTTAGTTTTACACTTGTGCTGTCTTTTGTTTTCATTTAACTCCCCCTTTTTTTTGTCATACAGTCTAGAAAGCATATGAGGTACAGGAAGCATGTGAGCATATAGAACAGAAGCTGTCAAATCCCATAATAAATGTTTCTTTGCAATCATATCTGTTCTCTTCTTTCCTGACATGCTCTTGTAGAATCACATTCACATATCTTGCACACTAAAATAAGAAATACCAACGCATACTAGCAAAGAGCCAGATCCCTCCTCACCAATGTTCCTATCAGCCAGTTCTTTGGTCAAAATCACCTTACAACCTTCCAAAATCATTTCTTACTGATTTACAAAATTATTCTACACTCCTGTGAACAACCTGATTAGCTGTAAATGTATTATCAAAGCTAACTCATTATATTAGACCCAGGGAACACTACAGGTATGTAAATTATACAATCACTTCCAGAAATGATGCAATGCACTCAAACCAACTGCCTTTAAGTCCTTCATGTAGGAAAAGAGACTGAGCCTCTCCTAAGGCTCAGTGGCCTAAAACCATATAGCAGATTTAAACCAGAAATTGAGTCATGTTAGAGAGCACAGAAGCATTTACAGGACAGAGTGCCACAGTCCTTGTCTGAGTGTGACAGGTCCTACTCTAAGGTCCCTGCTTACTGGGTTATTCAAGCATTCACTGCTGATGCAAAGTTAATCTGTTCCTGCGCAGTTGTGCAGTGAGGCCACATCATTCCTCAGTTTCACTGTCCCTTCTCAAACAGATACACAGGCAAAAGGACAGTGGTTTCAAGTCTTTACAAAGGGGAAAAGTTCTGCTCAGAAACAAAAATCCCTCCCTAGTATTACCTAGTAGTAGTAACTCCAAGATTCTGAGACCACATTTAGCTTTACGGAATAAAACATAACAAGCTGTCAAAATGTGCATAAATAAATTAGAGCCATTATTCCAGCTCAGAGTTCTGGGGACATAAACAATCCTCTTGAAGTTCGCTGTGACATATTTTGCAGTGGGAGCCAGTCATTAGCATTACCTCCTGTATGCAGAGAGCTGTACATGCATTCTGTCTTAGGGGCTGGCACCGCAGCACAGAAATCAACAGGCCTGCCTTGGAATAGAAAAGAAAACAATCCAGGGCCAATTCCCTGCCCCTGAGCATGAGTTTGATGGCATAGCTCGTGTCCATATGGCTAAACTCTCTCCTTCTGCTCACTCCCCAAAGAGTTGTCCTCATCCATATCTGCCTGCTTGGAATAGTCCCTGGCTCGTGCTGCTGTCCTAAGCCATACCCGTGTGCCACCAGGGAGAGCACTGGCTGGCACTAGCATCATGCTAAGGAGAATGCTAACAGTTAAACACCACAGATCACTAATGTTACTGCTCCTGGCCCTGCCTAGTTTACTAACACATATACACTCCATGACTTCTGCTATAATATTACTCTAAAAGATGTTTACTTTCTCGTAAGTGACTTTCAGTTGCATAATAGGAAATATAGTGAGGTCCAAAAAAAGGCATGAGGAATTAAGATACACATACATTTTGGGTGCACAGGAACATAAAGGAGCTGTACCAGGTGAGGCCACAGCACTCGCCAATGAGACAAACTTAGGAAAAGCACGAGATCAGGGTAAGCACGACATATTTCCTCAGTACACTGCCCTGCAGCAGCCAGTGATTCGTAGACTTCCTGAACCAAAAGTGGGATTTGGGTATTCAACAGCCCTCAGGATTCTTATGAAAGAAAATGAACTCTGGACTTAAATGCCGCATAATTAAAAAGTCAGCAACAACAGGCTTTAGCAATATGAATTATAAACAAGGGGCAAACCTGTTCAATCAGAAAATGTATTTTACATCAAAAGAACATCAAAACAAGGATGAACAAGAGTATTGTTGTTATAAGACTGCATCAAGGTGAAAGCTACAATCTCTAAGAGCAAAATGGCACTGACATCCTCACAGAAGGCCTTTGCTTGGTCTCAGTGCACATGAAACAAAACAAATTTCATAGTGTATTCTAGGGAGAACCTGCTGTGATAGAAATCCAAATGGCTAGCAACTCAGCAGCAAAGAGTAGGATTCTTTCTATTTAGTAACTGATAATTTCTATCACATAGTTTTCTCTGGACACTTTTTTTTGTTCGTCCCTTTAAGGGTTTGCAATCATGACAGCTGTGTCTTTGGGTCCTTATGGGTATTTTTGAGCTACTTTCTAAATCCATATTAGGAGCTGAGGCAGCCACTGCCGTAAGAAGAACTTTTCCATTCTTGAGTGGGAAATTCCATGAGATAAAACATTCTTGCATTTTGTCCAGCAGAAATACTGTATTTCCATTGAAAATGCCATACTAATACACTCATTATATTTTTCTAGAAATAAATAGGGCAAAAAACTTCTGACCCTCTGTCTCCCCTTTTTTTCTCCCTCCCCACCCCCCACTCCCCTTCTGCTCTGTTCTTCATCATAGTATGAGGAAGTTGGTCAAAACAAAAATCTAAACACATTTTTTCCCTCCTAATAATAAAGTAATGGATATTCCCTTACTTTTGCCTTGATGTATCAAAACATACTGAAGGAAAACCATCCTGCTTTCCAAAACTTGATGTGACCATTGATCAGTGTATCCCTATGAGTAAAAAGTCAAGAAAATGGGGCAGGAGACCTGCATGGATGAGCAAGAAGCTCCTGGCAAAACTCAATCAGAAGAAAGTACACAGAATGTGGGATAAATGACAGGCCTCTTGGGAGGAATATAGGAATTTTGTCAGAGTATGCAGAGATGCAATGAGGAAGGCTAAAGTCCATTTGGAATTAAATCTGGCAAGGAACATCAAGGACAACAAGAATGGCTTCTCCAAATACATCCATAACAAAAAAATATATATAAATAAAGACCAGGGAAAATGTGAGCCTACTGCAGACTGGGGTGGGTGCCCTCATGATGAAGAATACAGGAAAGACAATTACTGCAAGTCTTCTTTTC